CCCTCCCTCTCTCTGTCTTTGTTTTTTTTTTTTTTTGGCCACTCCCCATGCCTGTCTCTCTTGCAGTGTCACATCTGTTTGGATTTTCTATTTTCTGTGTCTCTCTATCATTCCCATTTATGAAGAAGCTTTGACTGTAGTTGAAACTAACAGATTTTTGCCTCTTTTTCTGTCTCATAGTGTTCACTTTTGCAATTGCAGGCTAAACAGACAATGTGGTATGTCTGCATTATCTTTGAATTTCTGTCCAAATTCCAACTGATTTGTCCATACAGAGGAAAGAGACAGCCGATGTGTGTGTGTGTGTGTGCAGAATACATTTGTGTGTGTGTGCATCGGCAAGTGTGTGTATGCCATGAATCAAAACCAGGCTGGTGGTGTGACATCTCATTAAAGAGACAGTCTTCCTGCATACATTGACAGCAAATGTAAATTTTACAAACTGAAAGCCTCAGGCATAGTTTTGGGGAAAGGGGTACTTTCAGTGCATTGTTTTATTCAATGCCTACAGGTCCCTGTGTGTTTGTGTGCATATGTGTATGAATGTGGAAGCATGTGCCACGGTGGATGTTGGCTAGCTGCCAGAGGCTGACCATATTTTACGATCTTCGATGCACACACACTCACAGTGCGTTTTTTGTTGTTGTTTTTGGTTTTTTTAAAATAACGATGGCTTATTTTTCTGACAGTTTGGTAATGGTTTAAAATCCATGAATTTTTACATGTCAGCATATATGTGTTTAGTTGCCTGTCGTGCCATGTTCAATTACATGTTTAAATCTCAAGTGGTGTTTACTTTACTTGCCCCTCTATATTTGATAATTAGAGGGCTCAGGTTTGTTCAGTGTATCATGCGAGGCTGTAATCTAACAGAGAAAATTACTATTCCTCTTCAATAACATGGTTATTATTCACGCTAAAGACGGAGCATGGAGAATGTGATATGTGAATCTCCTGCATGGTTGTAATGTAGCTGTCGCCTGATTACTGAAAGAAAAAAAACAGATTGAAACAGTTGGTGGCTCAAAGCAGCTTTCATTTCACTCCGGTGGTATTTTAAATTTTCAAACAACGGAACCACATTGTCTACAAAGAATATAAAATACTTTTTAGTTGTATATCAGAGGCTGCTGTGGTTTTCGTTCTTGTGATGTGATGACATATATCAAAGTTCAGTCTTGGTGCTAAAGATCCAATGACGACAATATAAATAATTTATATTTATAATAAAATAAATATAAATATAGCTGGCATTTAATACAACTAGCAGATTCTTTATATGCACTAAGAGCTAGAGTCTGCAGTAATATCTACAAGTAATAAAGTAAGTACAACAGAGAGATGTGAGAGGTAACAGTGTCCTAGTTTCCCCCTACATTGAGCAAGTACTATTTTTAGAAAGCAAAAAGATAAGGGGGGAAAAGAATCCCCTAGAGTCGACAGCAGCAGTTTTATGTTCTGGACAATTTACACCCTCCTTATGCTACGATGACCTTTCTGCTTTCATCGTTCACTCATCCCAGCCCCCTTCATACCCTCTGCTCCTCCATGTCCTCCCTCTGTCCTCTTCTCCTTCCTCCTCTCTCCTTATCTTCCTTGATTCCCCTCTCTTTATCCCCCATGCACTTTTATCTGTTCACTTCTTTCCTATATTCAGTTTTCTTTTTGTATTATGTCTAATCTTCCGTCCTCCACACTCCATCCTCCCATTTCTCTCTTTGTCAGCACACACTGCCATATTGTTAAGCAGGCATGGTCAGGCATTTGCAAATGTGCAGACCCTATCAGTCTATGTTTTTTTTAACCATCTAATACCAAAAACTGTCATGTGTCATTTGTATCCTCCAACACAAATTGACCTTTGTGTGACTGTAAAAATACCACTCCTATGCTCCTCACCTAGTGTCAGCATACATTATATATATTATAGGCTACACTGCACACATGCACTCACTGTGTTTGTTGTGCACATGCATGTATGAATTTATAGACTCTGTGAATGTAGTGTGCTGGTCTTCCACATTTTATCTTGGTAATTTATGACTTTCTGTCTTTCTGTCCCTCTTCTCTATCCCTTCCCATCTGGCAATGTTTTAGTCTAACCCAACACACAGACCAGCTGTGCCCTGTAGAGCTGTTATTGACACTGTGTGCGTGCATATGTGTCTGTGTGTTGCACACATCAAGTACCAGCATACATCCAGTGCATTGGGCACAATCTACCAGGCCATCTGGCTGACTGCTTGTGGAGGCATTCATTGGGCAAGTGACACTGTGTATGTGTGGGTAATAGACAGGAAATGACAATAAAAAACGACAACTGTTTACCAAATAAAGTTTCCCTCATAACTTCTTATTGTGTATCTTTATGTCATAAATAGTATTTGGCAGAGGACATTAAAAAAAGGTCTGCACACAACCATACACGACCATATTTCAAGATGATGTTGCTCATGTTTTAAAGATTCCTGAAACAAGTGAAATGACACTAAGAGGAAGTGAGGTTTTCTCATTGAATGTACAGCATTTTGGCTTTAAATGTATTGAATATTATATATATATATTATATATATTGATGTACAATAAATAACTATCAATTGCTGCTGAATGAAAACTTTGAACACAGGTATATGATACATGATAAGCAACAGTTTAGGCCAGTTAACAGTAATCTTACTCTAGTCACTATATTTTGCTGCCACCCAGTGGACAACTTGATTAATTGCAATAAAAACAAAAAACAGTAATGTAGTTCTCCTAAAAAATTTTCAAACTGGAAATAAGTTCATTAAAAATATGGGTAGAAAATGTTTGACACATATACATATCGTGCAGCCGCAGTGGAAAGCAATAACAGGTCAGGTTTTCTTATACTGTTATACTGTAAAATGAAAGCAAGAGGGAATGTAAGATGTGATTATGTGTCTAAGGGCAGGGTGGGTGCGTATGTCACATGTGAATGACTGTGTGAGGGAATGTGTGTTTATAGTTTACCTCACAGTGTGCACACATCAGTTCACCATGATTAACCACCTGCACATAAAGTGGGTCAAGCTCTGGTCCATTCTCTCCCTCAGAATTTTTCTATCTATCCATATCTTCAGCTTTTTTCTATCTTATTTCTACATATTTCTCCTTCTTTATAACCATGCATGTCAACCAATATACCTTTTAGACCCAGCATTGCAAAGAAGAAGAATTTTTCACAATGCACCTATGTCTGACAAGTTGTGACTGTTTCACAGTAGACTGCATGTGGAGTGATTCACCACAGTGGACTGATACTGAAAATGATGCTTTGATCTTTGGTGTATCCCAGTTTAGAAGGAATAATTTGACTGAGAAACCATGTAAAATTAAAGGGAAACTTCATCAGTTTTGCACATCAAAGTCTGTTTACAGAGCTTGGGGAGTAGACTACTGCATATGTGAAAAACCAGTGTAAAGCCTTCTGTGGCTCCTGCGGAGTCAGAGAGAGGTGAGATGGAGCCCGCTCCTCATCTCTGCTTGAGGCTAACAGCTTGAGGCTACATTAGCCGCTACTAGCATAACACACTCAAAAACTCAGTGTATTGCATGAGCAACACAATCAGTGTGTTATCAATCCTTTTTTTCTGTATCAGTTATCTTAAAAATAAGGCGACCATCTCTCTGAACACAAGTTCTTCACTCATACTGTGTCACTGAGGGCATTGTGCCCCCCCCCACCCTTTGTGCCTGTGGCTGTCTGGCTTATTATTATGGTCTGTCTGGCAGGCTGCCTGGCTGGTGGTCTCTAAGTGAACTTGATACTGAAATCAGCAGCCGGCTGTGATGTGTAGGGCATCAAGGGGACCGTGTGGAGCTAGTCTGGAGCTCAGCCAGTCACTTAACACTTGTCAACAGTTCTAATGAAAGTGGCCTTTTCCTTGGTGGCCTCTTTTTCATTAGCAGGGTCAGAGGTCGCCGCCCAAGGCTGGCTGTCTGTTGGACTGAGAGGGCAGACAGTTGAGGAAGAGGGCTGAGGAAGGGGGTTAGAGAAGGGGCTATAAGGGCAGAGGGGGAAGGGGGAAGGGGGAAAACATTCAGTGGCTAGTTGGCTCCTTATGTTTTGTTTCCTGTATGCCCCGCTGATCCTGGGGACTAATTTTTTTCTTAAGGTATCCCGCAGCTCCACCTGACAACTGACAATGTAACGGTTTGCACCTGCATACTCATTTGTGTTTTCATTTTTAGAGAGTCTTAATCTCTACCACACCAGTTTTTAGCCACAAGCTCCAGTATGAAAAGCTAGAAGTTCTACAGAATGATTTTGTGTTAATGAAGATATTTAAAGCATCAAGCTCTAGTCTCACTTAAGTTCAATTCAGGGGTTACATTCTGTTATTTCTACTTCACTTTTACTCTCCTTCAACTCTTCTTTCTGTTCTCTATTATGCCCCTTAAACACAGATGTGGCCAAGTGAGCGAGTGAAAGAAAGAGAATCCGCCAACATCCCTCTCCTCCTCCTCTTTCCCTTCACCCCGGCCTCTTGCACATGAAAGGGGCCGCCAGTGGATGGTCGGTGGGGTGTGTGCTATGCGAGGGCCCCAGACCCAGACACAACACAACACACAGCTCTGCAGGCCACCACAGCTGGGCTGGAATGTGACCTGCTTCAGACTAGGCCCTGTGTGTGTGTGTGTGAAATACAAGTGGAAGGAGGAGGATGGATGGAGGGATGTCAACTACAGAACAGCACATGCACTGACCACATGAGCCTTTTGATAAGCTGTGAGCATGTTGGGTACTTTGTCTTTAACACAGGGAACAGCACAACAACATCACAAAGCGAAGACATCTGTAGTAGTTTCTAAATCATCTTTATTTATTTTGCCATCATGTTCCATATAAGTTTGAATGAACACTAATATATATCATAGATAACATAAAAACATGTCTGTTCTCTATGTAATTAAACTCACAGAGAGACTTTCTGTATATATATTTATAGATATATACATATCTCACGAAGCTTTCTGTATATATATTTATAGATATATACATATCTCACGAAGCTTCCTGATTTTATGTATATACTCGCCATAGTCCTATAAGAAATAGATCAAGAAAAATAAATATGAAGTACAGAAGTCCATATACATATTCTGTATTGTAAATTAAAACTTATCAAACCAAATTCCACAAAATATGGAACCAAAGAGCTTATTTGATTCTGGTACATAAACTGAGGCTTCAAATTGCATTATTATGAGCTCAAGAACTCAGGACAGATATTACACAATGTTTATTTTGTGATAACCCACAAAAATGTAAAGCAAACATACCAAAAACATACTGCTAAAGGAATGATATTAGTGTACTCAAGATAACGATAAAGGAAATCTATAATTAAATTTTAGTAAACAGTTACAAAGATTAAATACTTTGTACAGGGTGAATGCTTGTAACTAATACTATTCTACCTGTGTACCCTAGGTGTGGCCATCAAAACGGTCTAATTCTAATTTATTCTTAATTCTTGTTTTAAAAAGAGCTATTTGGACAGTTTTGACACAACGTATGTGAAAAAAATCATGAATGAAAACTGACAAAAGTGATCAGGGACAACAGTGGGAACTATGAGGAGTGATTTTTTTTAGATCGACAGAGCTATAAGGAACAAAGTAAGGAACGAAAAACATCTGAAACAGGCAACAAAACCTCCGATGTTACAGATAAGTTACTAGTTTTGGGTTTACTGGCAGTCGGTCAGACTGGTGAGGTAACTGACTTTCAGTGAATGTGAGACTCTCAAACACTCTACTGTACAGCAGAGAAATCTTTAAGGAAATCACAGGTTTTCTTGTGGACAATCTCACGAAGCTTCCTGATTTTACGAGTGCTGGAGGAGCCTACAAAGCTGTCGGGCTGCAGGACGGCCATCCCGTTGTGAACATCCCCCATGATGATGAGCTGCCCGTTGGCTGTAGTGATATTAGGGCAGGGGCAGTTCCAGTCCATGTTCAGAAGAGTCACCTCCAAGGGCTCTTTACCAAAGAACCTCAGGCCCATCTTCTCATCCTTCAGAATCTCTTCCACTGTCACCAAAGCGTGGCCTGACTCCTGCTCCTCTGTCAGCTCAGTCACACGCCCGAGGATCACAAAGTCACTCTTGCAGAAGCTGGTGACCATCTTGCCTCGAGGTTTACATATCTTGCAGTTGTGGTTCTTCGGAAAGGGACACATCTCTTCACAGGCCTCTTTAGACTCGAAGTTGTTCTCGTTGCCACCGCAGCCTCCATACACGAAGGACTGGCACTTTTTGAGGCCGCTGCTGTAAGCCCAGCGAGGCTCATACGCCTTGCAAGGCCCTTGGAGGCTCGGTAGGCTGCAGGGAGCTGCCAGCTCTCCTCCGCACGACAGCATGCAGGCTTCATAGGTGTCAAAATGGTTACGGTTTTTATTGCACTGACTGTAGGTGAAGGTGAAGCAATTGTTCCTCTTTGGTTCATAGTACCAGCTCATGCTCTCCTCCCCACAGTCGTCTGTGTCTGGACTCTTAAGGCACTCTTCAGCTGGAAATGGCAGGTTGGTACTATTCCCCTCTGCGTTCTTACCTTTCGCTTCTCTTTTGATCACTACCAAGGGAAAGTGTGATGATACGCTTCCCCCGACATTTTTGGCGGTGCACGTATAGATGCCGGCATCCTGAAGTTGCGCATTGTATATGACCAGCTGGCCAATGTTAGTGACCACAACGTTCCCTCTGACATGATTAGGTCTCATTACCGTGTTCTCTTTGCCCTTCAGTTGTTTCTCCCAGGTGATTTCCGGACGTGGCTTCCCAGTCACCTCACACAGGAAGCTAGCTGTCTCCCCCACAAAAACAGCCTGTTGGGTGGGGCCAGTATGTATGGTGGGGAGCTGGATGTCAGCTGGGAGGGTGGTCTGGAGGGCAGTGGTGGGATGTAAGGTGGTCTCTGCAGGGATTGGACTGGTGTTGGGCCAGGTCAGGTGGTACCTGTAAGTAGGTTGAATAAGAAAGGAATTAATCAGAGCCAGGATGCATCAAAGACTCTTCTTTAATTACTATAAGACTGTATTAATACATTTATTCTTCCATGCTACAGCCAGAAAAAAGGTTTTCAAATGTCTTAATTTTGAGGACTAAAACAAAACAACTTTACCTCGTAACACCAAAAACAAATAGTAGAGATCTTAAATACTTAACATGTTACCTGCAGGTGACCTCAGAGATAGAGATACCCTTGGAACAGGCCTCTGCATCCATGTAGCACTTGTTATAATAGGTCATGCCGTCAGATGCACATGTGAAGTGGGGTTCTCTCTCACAGCGGTCCCGGCACTTACAAACAGGCTGGCCGTCCCAGATGTCGCACTCGGACCCTTGCTGAGAGCACATGAACTTGTCGCAGGTGGCGCCCTTTGGCATTCCAACGGGGCCCTTGTTGCCCTTGATGTCTATATAGCGTGCTGCCACACAGCTCTTGTTACCACAGACATTAGGGCAGCACTTCTCAAATGACTCACAGTCCTACAGTTGGAAAAGAAAGAAAACCTTTTGTACCAAATACCAGCATATTTATTCCTTTTACAGTTGAGATACAGAAATCCTGCATGAAACTGAGAAACTGCTTTGATTCTTGGCGAGATCGTTCTTTACGAAACACCTCCTGCTGATTTCATTGTAATGAATTTAGATCAGAAGGTTCTTTAAATGAAACAGCATGAATAAAAATAAATACATTAAGTTAAAAAATGTGTAACATAACATAACCACTATGATTATTTCTGTTGAGCTGGGTTTCTGTTTGCTGTATTTCTTGTAACCCCCAGGCAGCAGCTCATGAACACTGAAAAGGACAACAGGAATTGTTGGGCACTGACACAATCTGATATTATGGACAATCTGGATAGATAGATAGATAGATAGATAGATAGATAGATAGATAGATTTCACAATACTTAAAACTGTATTGTTTTAAGAGCTGGCCACACAGCCTGTTTCACTAATATTCTTCCAACAGCAGCAGACGGACTGTCTTTGCGTCTAAACGCCTTTGCCCCATTGTCCACATATTTCACAGCTTTCACCGTTTCATCAGCCGCAGGTCTACTCACCTGGTCGGATTCACACTCGCGCATGCAGGTGCTCATTGCATCCACCCACAGGTTGGGGTTCAGGTCGTTCGGGCACAGACCTGCGTGAGAGTACACCACTTTTGCCACAGACATGGGCATGGGCATTGCTCTCACGCGGCAGCTATCCATATAAAGGAGAATGGTGTAGCAATGTCCCAGAAGAAACCAAATCCATCGGGGAAACAGCATCCACCACATATCCGGCGCGTAACAGGACGGACAGTAAATAAAAAAAGAAAATCTTAAAAAAGTTTAACTCGACTTTAAAGTTTTGAAAAACTCTTTAAACTATCTCCAAACTGTCGCGTAATTGATTTTCTAACCACTGGAATCAGATGCAGTTAAAAACAGCGGAAAGAGGAGCGTCCGGGACCTGTCACGATGTGGAAAGCTCCTCCAGGTTAGTCGCTCCACGTTTAATAGTAGCAAGAGATTAGGGCTGCGGTGAGCAAACCCACTTAAGAGCTAACTACATGAATTACAGTGGCCTGTCTAGTCGGACAGCAAATCCCAGCTGAGTTACAGTTATGATCAACTTAATTAAAGAAAAAAAAAAAAGGGAAAAAAAGTTCGCCAACAGTTTGCAGCCGCTGTTTCATAGAGGACTGGCGAGACACCTGTGCGTAAGGCGCTGGCTGCCTTAACCCTTAGCTTGCAAAGTCAGTGCAAAGGAGTGGATATTTAGCAATACTATATAGTATATATATTGATATATATACACTATAAGTATAGTGAGTAGCATTTGTTTTACAATGTAGGCACGATCTAAGCATTTTGGATGTGCACACATTTTAATAAATGCAACGAGAAAAGGTACTGAATATAGCCTATACAATGACTGTGCATTGTAATTTATTGATTGTAATATATTTTGTATTATGCAGTCACATTGAGCTTTATTTTTTTAACGTATCTGTGTTAAAAGACTTACACCTTAAATAGTTATAATTGTGTATAAGATGCTTTGGGTGTGTCTGTTCAATAATAATTATATATGTCTTGTCATATTCATCACATTAAAACACAGTAGTGTGTGATAATACTGTGCACTATAATACTGCATGATAAATATGCACCACTGTAAAATCTCTTGTCAGTCTGAACAAAATGTCAGTCTCCAGAAGATGGCACCAAACTGTGGTTTGACTTCTGCATTGAAAGTGAACCAAGTAGTGCAAGGTACATTTAAACAGCTTTAGTGGATTTAAGTGTAGAGGTGGTTACATTATGGATTATTAATGGATAGTTACTTATTTGCACCATGGGATTACAATACGGATAGTCTTTAACACGGATAGTTTTTCTCTGCAGGTTTCTGTACCTCAAAAACTATACTGCCATACTGGATGAATCATTTTACATAATGTTTGGACCCAACCTATTGTGGAAAATCCAGCTGATGTAGAATTGTGCATTGTTTTATTGTCTCCATATCTGATACCAAGTAATGTACCATTCAGGTGATTCCAGTGTGATGATTCAAATGTTAAAACATGCATCCTCAGACAGTTTAATTTGTTGTATGTGTTGTGAAATGTCCTTCATTCTGCATTTTATATTAATCAACCACTGCAAATCTTTGGAAATGCCAACCAGTGAAGTGTAGTGATGATGAGTATATGCCTGACATATAAAATGGTGAGAAATGCAAATGTTCTAATGTGCTGGCTCAGTTTGTAACAGTCTGTTTTGTCATCCAGGACAGGCGCGACCATGACACTTCATGATGACTTGAACACCATGCATGCCAAACATCCCAGTTTAACACATTTGACAACACTTCATCACACAGATGGAATATTAAATTGTATTAAAGATAAAGCTTGTAATATGAGAAAGAATTGTTTTATTTGAGCTACAGTAAATGGTGTTCCTAAATTACTACGAGGTTCTGTCACGGTTTGGTTGGATCTGCATAATCCTTTTTTCTTTTTTTCTCTTCATGTTCTCGGCCAAACAGAAAACAAGCCTATTTGTTTTGAAGCCCCCTTTTCTGCAGCACTTCCTGGAGTTGGCTTTTGGGGAATAAGTCGTTTTTTCACAGCATGATATCAAACTGTCTGTACTACTTGTGACTTCTTACATGTCAATATTGTGATAGCACGAGTCTGACGAGCCGTGAGCCTTATAGTATTCCCTTTGTTCCCATCTTAAGTTATCACTAACCCTACTACATTCCAACACTGAAAATGCTTTATATATGAAATAGCATTTAAACAGGATTTTGATTAACTTAACCCAAAAGTGCTAGTAATTGGAGTACGTAATGATCAAAATGGATCTGTAATGTTTTTAATTAAAAGGGGAAAAAAGCAACAATTTAGTGGCCTCACTGTGTGTGTGTGAGTATGGGGTCTTTGCTTCCCAAGATGGGTCCCTGCTGAGCCCAGAGGCTCAGTGTTATCCAGGCCAAACCGTGCAGTCTCAGTCTGGTCTATGTCTGTGAGCCCCCTCTGAAAACACACACATACACACAGGTGAGACTCATGCACATGCATGCACAAAAAAAAGTATATAATAAATATGGTAAACACTGATTATTTAGCTGGAGATACTAACGATTTACAAGGATTTGCTTAAATAAAATGGACGTACAGATTACATACATTTTACTCATTGCACACACACACACACACACACACACACACACACGCGCACACACACACACACACAAACACGTATGTGCACGCTCTCAATTTCCTGAAAATGCACAAACACAGTCAAGCTGTGTTTTCAGTGTCTGCTCACCCACTCACCCCCTCAGCCCCTCCACCCCTAACCTTCACCCCTCAAGACCCTACATTCCCAGCATAGCCGACACTGGGGCTACAGGGCATGTCACATATTGAATAACGCCACATGGTGGATGCCATGCAGGGCGTCTATCTGCCTTCAGCACATGCATTGTCTGCAAACAGACCTTGACTTTGACCTTCTCTGTTCACCCTCGCCATAATCTAGTCCAGTTCAAAATAACTTAATAAAAAGTAGTGGCATCTAGTGTTCTACCTGAACAGCACTCGCATCTGTACTTGATGATGTGGGAATGAGAACGGGAAACGCAAAAGGCCCTCTCTACAGCCAGTGTTTGGTCTGTCCATATTCAGGTGATTATACACTAATAAAAACATAGTTATGCATCTTATATTCCATTTGTGCCAATACATGTTACACACTGGACCTTTAATGCCAGTGTGAAGCTACTACTCCATCCCGGTGTTCCCTTTTATACACTATATCATAATCATGTTATCCTCAGTACTGGAAGCAACCACTGTATTGGGAAAATACTTCCTCAGGGGGTTCTATGCTTAGTTGGAATACTGGGCCTAGCGGGGCCTTCCTCTGACTGTCACATATACACACGATGGAAGAAATGGGCTTAGGGAGAGGGCTTGGCAACAGTGACACGAGAAGGCCATCACACAGTCGGCCTCACAGGTCCTAATCAATGTCACATGGATCATTTAAGGTGGTATACCACAGCAAACCTCTCTTTGTGTTCTGCCATCGTTTCTTTCCCACTAGGATTGGATGTACTTCGCACTGATGGCAACCAGTGGAGACTAAAGTGCTGGTAGCCCTGATTTTGTTACCTATGGACAAACGCAGGCTAGCTGTTCCCCCTTGTTTCCAGTCTTTATATAACTGGCTGATGGCTAGAGCATTAAAGAGATGGTCAATCAGTCTAGTTCCACTGTATTACTGAAGAACAAATCACTCCATTGGGCTTTTTATACAAACTGTGGAATCGTGACTTATATTCGTATTCAAAATGATCAGCACAGCAGGCACAAATCACTCACAAGGTCCTACAATTTGTTGCGATATATATAAAGTACATATAAGCTACTGTACATCTTACTTCACCATTAATCTCTCAGTGGCTTTACAGTGTCATGCATGCATTCGTGTTGTAAATAAGTAGCTCTGTATATTGGATTTGTGCATTATGCCTGTTAGAGAGGGGCACAACTTGCACCAACGGCCATAGTCCAAGCACATTGACCAAGGCACGTACTTGTGAGTAACGTCGCCTTCTGCCTCCATTTCTGAAATGCTCTTAGGGGTTCTCGACCATGCAAGTCCACAGCTTCTCTCGCCCATGACTGAGGCCTGGGAAGCTGGTTCAAAACAATGAAGGTGTTATGACTGTTCATACTAAGCTTATTATGAGTGTCTCACTCTAGAACAAAGGAGAGAGACACGTCCAGCCACAGCAGGACCCTAAGCTGATTCCTCAGCCCCAGTCTAGACACACAGCACAACATGCCTATGGACAGACAGGCATACGTTTGCAGATTCACGGGCATCCTGTGAAATGTATATATCCTGTTTGCCTTACATTTCTTTATCCCAGCAGATTGCGCACACACAAGCACACATTTAACTTTCTCAACACCATTCTGCTCAGATTATGCAACATTTCTGCTGTCCAGTCCGCAGTGTCTGAACATCTGCTCGCCACATGAACACTATTGTATTCATTTCACTGAAGAGGTTAAGGATTTCACAGATACACGAGTGTGTCAGTATGACAACTTAGGTGTTGTTTATGTTCTTTAAATCAGAAAAGGAACATAACAAAATGTCTCGTTAAAAGAATGTACAACACCGGCTTGTTGTGCAAATGCAGGTCAAAGTTAATGGACAGGCCAAAGACAAAACCACAGCTGGATGGTACAACAATACTGCGCTTTGAAATATGGAACATTTCCAGAAATCCTTTTTATTAGTGTTAATAATGCACATAAGTGGTTATAAACAGACATGTCGAATTAGCAGCTCACAAACAATATAGTTTGATATTTTCATTAGTTTCATTAGTTACTTATGTAAGTAAATATTCAGATTTATTTCATTTAAGGAGAAAATCTGTTCTGCGGTGAGACAGTGAGTAGCACTGCTTTATGCAATTAGATATTCATATATTTTTTGCATCAATGTGATGAAGATTCTTCTAATTTTCAGGTATTTCATTTGATTGATTAGCCAAAAACATACATTTCCACCTATTTTACAGTTTTCTGGCTGATTCTTCCATAAATGTAATAATCACATTATACACCTAATGCATATGGAGATATAAAATTATACATATGATGAATGTTATCGATAAAGCCCACTCCTTGGTCAAACTGAAACATATTCATGTTTATTGGAATCATTGTGTAGACAGGACCTCATTAAAAATGAATGTAAGTTACCTTGAAATGCTGCTACACTTTTAAATTAATTGTTTTCTGGTATTCAATAAATCATTAATGCAACAATAGCTGGGAAAAATTACCTTCAAGCACATCATACAAAGAAAGATAATTCTTCCCATACATAATAAGCTTTTGTGACAAGTTTTAATTTACTAATTGTAGACCTGATTTAAAATGAATGTAATTTAATTAGAGTTGTATGGAGAGAGTTGGAACGCTGAGGCCAAAAATAAGACAGGACATTTGTGGCTTTATGTTTACTTACTCTGAAAGAGCCAAACAGGCATCCTGACAGTGGTGCATTTCAGTCTAACAATATAATGGGCCAGAATCCAAACAGCAGGTTTTAAAATGTTCAAATAAATCCAGGCAGAAAGAAAGCTATCCTCTTATTATGACTTAAAGTGGCATA